CCCTTAAGTGGGGAAAGGGCAATAAACGTGGATTAGGGGAAAAAGCACTCTGCTGAGGTCAGAAGGGGGAGACTTCCTGGGGCTGAGACTCCTTGGAAGCTGGAGATGATTTCAGAGGGTGGGGGCACAGAACGAGGAAGGGTGTGGAAGCAGAGGTGCTGTGTCTGGGCCCAGAGTCAGGCGCAGGAGGAGGTCAGGGTGAAGTGAGCTGGGGCTGGGGACAGAGAGGCTGCAGCTGGCCTGCCTGTGAACTGAGACTTTAGCAGATGGGTTTTATCTCCCTTGCCCAGGGAGGGCACAATCAATCACAATCAATCAGCCAGTCATGCCTGCCTAGAAGGGTTTTGAGGCCACAGGATGGCTGGGCAAGAGACAGTGCTGTGATTGACTAGTAATGCCTGCCAGGGACAAAGCACAGCAGAGTAGTACATGCTTGTCTTCTGGTCTCTCTCCTCAGACTGGTCCCAGAGGCTGGGCAGGCACACTGTCACGGGAGCCAAGGGGGATGCACATGGGGAGGTTGGCTAAGGGCCTGCTCTGCCACTGCGGGGAGCTGGGAGAGGGAGGAATTACCCTGGCCTAGTTCCCTCTGAGTCCCAGTTCCCTTCCCCGCACCCTCCCTGGCCCAGGGCAGATGCTCAGGAAGAGTTTGAACATGAACGGTGGGGAGGCTCCAGAGCGGCCTGGCTCTCCTCACTTCTTCCCCTTTGCCTTCTCCAGGCAGCCTTGGGGAGTTCCATCCTGCTGGGTCTTGTTCTCTGCTTATCCTGGGTGTGACCCTCTCCCACCTGCTCCCCAGGGCCCTGTCCTCCTACCCCTCTGCCCTACACACCTGGGCAGGGCAGGGGAGGATGAACAGGCACGTGGCTCCCCAGCACTAGAGCTGTCCCAGGCAATAGCTGCCCTATGCTGCACTGCCGTCAGCCAGGGCCAGACAGCTTCCCTCTGGAAGGAAGGCAGGGGCAGAGTTTGGTTCCATTCGGAACTTGTCACTGCAGAGGTCCCAGCAAGAGCTGATAGGACAGGGTGAGCCCAGGTGACTGGAGGGCTGGGGAGGGGGAGCATGGATTCTCTCAGCCTGTAACAAGCCCTCTGGGCTCCCTGTCTGTGGGTATCCCTCCCACAGCTGGCAAGTGCCCAGACATACAAGGTCTCTTTGTGTGTGTGCAGATGACAGAGAACATTTGTGCACATGGTGTGTTGTGTATTTCTGCACACACACATATATGCCTGTGAGCACAGGTGGATCAGTCTATGGGCATTGTGTGTCCTTACATGAGTGTGTACACGTGCAAACTCAGGTGTGCACAGCCAGAGCTCTGTCCAAGGCAGGAGAGTTGCCGGGCCTTTCACAGTTCACTTCTGGCCTGGCTTACACATTACCTGTTCTGACTGCAGCCCAGGCAGGCACCTCATCAAGGGATTGGGAAAAAGCTGTCCCAAGGTTCCAGGACAAGCAGAGTGACCCCCAGGCTGGGTCTTAGGCCCAGATAGACTGGAGTCCCTGAGCCTCTCCCCAGCCCCCAGTCAGCTCTCATGGCGGCATGAAATTGGTCACTATTACAAACTGCCCTCCTGGAAGCAGCAGGAGCTCACCCTAAATTTGTGTTAGCCTCCTTAGGATAGGAGAAAGGAACTGACCTTCCTCCTTTCCTCTCCCTCTGGCCTGTGCTGTTCAAAACATGTTGGCCCATCTCTAAGAAATCCATGGACACCAATGGGAAAAGGAAAGTCTGCTTTGAAGATGCTTAAATATTTTTTTAAGATTTTATTTATTTATTTATTTATTTATGTATTTATGTATTTATGTATTTATTTATTTATTTATTTATTTATTTGAGAGAGAGAGAGAGAGAGAGAGAGAGAGAGCATGCTTGAGCACAGAGGGGAGGGGCAGAGGGAAAGGGAGAAGCAGGCTCCCTGGAAAGCATGACCCCTGGATCATGACCCGAGCCATCATGACCTGAGCCAAAGGCAGACACTTAACCCACTCAGCCACGTAGGTGCCCCAGGTCCTGGGTTACCAAGCCATGTGGATGAGGGGGGCAGGCCGGGTGCACAGCAGTTCACATCTGCTCAGTTCATATCAAACATCTCACTCTCATAGCCAAGCCTTGCCCTGCTGGGAAGGCTCCTTCACTGGTTCCGGGGCTGGATATGGGCAGACAGGGAAGGTAGCTCCAAACACGCCTCATGGGTTCAGGCCAAGCACTTGGGAGGAAAGGGATGAGACAGGTGCTAGGAGGACAAATGGGCTTGATTGGCGATAGACATGCCATTGGGTGTCCAAGGGGGAAAGTCTGGTGGGGGGTGCTAAACAGTGACAGTGATAGATTCCAGAGCAAAGATGGGGGCAGGGGTCCCAGGGTTATGGAACAGGGGGGGTTATTCTAGCCTAGAGGATCAGAGGATGCCTGAACTGGGATCTTCTACAAGGCTGGCAAAGGGTGAGGGCAAAAAAAGTGCAGGCCGTGGGAGTAGAGTGTACAAAGGCCCAGAGGGGTATGGGAGAAGGAGACAGCCCTACACTGTCCTGTCATACATATGCTACCTGCAGTTCTCTTCCTGAGACCAGCTTACCCCCAGGGACCCAGACCTGTTCTGGGGGCCCCCCACCCTGCCCCTCAGGGAGACCTTGGTGAGGGGGTTAGAGGGGAGGTGGGGCCCCTCTCCTAGGGACTGCAGGTGGGAGAGGGCCTGAACCCTGAAGGGCAAGAAAGGCCACATTCCGGAACAGGAGGAATGTCTTTGATCCCAAGACCTTGCTCAGGGCACCAGGCTCCCTTTCCCAGGTACCTTTCCCAGCATTCTTGAGGGAGACTCACAGTTACAGGGCAAGTCCCTGGGCAGAGGCGGTTCTGGCCTCCCCCTCTCTGACCAAGGGCAAGTTCCTGCTGTGCTCTGTAAGTCAGAGGGGTCTGTGTCGTCCCCCCACCCCCACCCCGCTTGCCCAGAAGCCTGCACACACATACACATGCACCCAGGGCATCCCTGCTGTGATCCATTTTATGCATTGTCTAGCTGTTCGAGACTGGAGGCAGGCCTTCCACTCGGGAACCAAGGCTTTGGGCTACTCCTCCAAGTTGACTGATGGGGGCCCAGGGCCCCTGTGGGAAGCTCAGAAGTCTGGCCAGCCGGCCATGCTTATTCTCTTCCACTCCTTTGCTTCCACTGTCACCTTCTCCTCAGGTGCCTCCACCCTCCTGTACTCATCTGAACCCCGCCTCTTCTAGCTCCCGTCTTCACACTCCTTGCTGGGGGATGCCCCACCTCCTGGGGAGTTTCTCCATGTCCCCCACATCTTCACAGCTCTCTCCTCTAGCCTGCCCCAACCCCCAGGAGTCCCGAAGGGGAGACAAGGGAGCCATCACAAGCTAGTGGGAGCGGCGGCAGGGCCTCCCTCCTCTGTCCTTCTTTCTCCTACATGGGGGGGACAGGGACTGCGAGGACACAGTGGAGGCTCCCATTTCAGATGCGCCCCCACTACTGAGTGCAGTGGCCAATTCCTCATCAGGCACTGCCGTACCCGAAGCCCCAGCAAGCCCGCAACAAGCCCGCTGAGGAATGATGCACCCGCCAGCAGCTCCCCTCCCGCGTGGGTCTGCTCAGGCTTCTTTTCAAGCGCTGCGTCCATCCCTGACAACCAGCAACCCGGAGTGCCGGCCGAGAGCCCGACCTCGGAGAAGCACCCTCATAGCGGGGCAGATCTGTGATGGGCTTGCTGGGCTCTGTCCAGGCAAAGGGGCTGCGTGCCACCAGCCTCGGGCGGAGTGGGAGGTTTAAACCCCGAGCGAGCGCAGGCACCCTGCCCGCGGGGAACGGGCCGCGCAGACGGCGGGGCCCAGCCGCTAGCTCCCTCCCCGGGCAGAGGACACAGGCCCCGGAGGGAAAGCGCGGCGCGCCGTGCGCACGCGCGCCGCTCCAGTCGAGCCGCTTTGTTCCAGGGCTACCTGCGGCTCCATTCACCTCCTCCGCCCCGCCCGGCCGCCCGCGAGCCGACACACCGCGCCGGCGGAGGCCCCGCCCCCTCCCCTGCGCGGGGCGGAACCCGAGCCGAGCCCCGCCCCGCCCCCACCGCCTCCTCCAGCCGCGAGTGGCCGTCCGCGCGACGCACTCCCGCCCCCGGCGCAAGGTGGTTGGTGCGCAGGAGGGCTGGAGCGGCAGAGCTGCCGAGAAAGGAGAGCGCCCCTCCCACCCGCCCCCGAGGAAAAGTCACGTGGCGCTTCGCTCGGCGCCTGTCACCTCCCCGCTGGTAGAGCCTCCTTAAAGGGCTCGCTCGCTCTTCCTAGGCGTCCAGCCCTTTGCAGGATCCCTCCAGTCCTGCCCGCGGAGTGTGGCGCGGCCCTGGGGCCCTGCTGCTCCTCCAGCCCCCTGTCTGCCGACTCCCCATCTGGCCGGCTGGGGTGGGATCCCCCTTCCAGGGGTAGCCTGTGGCCGTCGTAGGGACTGGGCAGTCGCCCAAAACGGTGACCTCCTAAGCACAGTGCCTGGCACGTAGTAGGCGTTCAATATCCATTTGTTGAATGAGCTCGCTGAGAAAATGAATGAATGGGGTTGACAGACAGGAGGAGGGGACATTGGCTCAGCGTGACCGCCCCCACCCGCCGCCCTATCCCGGGGGAGACTGTGCTTCAGTGCAGGAGGGGAGGGAATGCCGGGCGCAGGACGCCCCTAAGGCAGCTCTTCACGGTAGGACTCGGCGGAGCTGGGAGCGCGGGCTTAGGGGAAGGGGCTCGGCCAGGCATCCCAGACGCGTCCCGGCCAGGTTCCCGCCGAGCTGGGGCGACGGCCCCGGCGGGCGCAGGTCTCTGCGCGCGCGGGGCCGCGAGCGCGCCCGCGTCCTCCGCGGGGAGGGGCGGCGGAGGCGCGGCGCCTTTAAGCCCGGGCGCCGGCCCCGCGGCCCCGCCCCCCGGAGGACGCCTCGGCGCGCGGCCGCCGGAGCCGCCGTTTAATTGGGGCTGTCAGGCCGCGGCGCGCGCGGAGGGCCGGGCGGGACGGAGGCCGGGAGGCCGGGGCGGCGGGCGCGCAGCTCGGCGGGAGGCGGGCGCCCGGAGACGCGGCTGGGGCCCGCGCGGCCGGGGCGCCGTCCCAGGGCAGGGCTGCCCGGCCCCTGCCCCGGGCCGCCCGCGCTCCCCATGAAAAACCAGCTCCGCGGCCCCCCAGCGCGGGCGCACATGTCGGCCTCGGGGGCGTCGGCTGCTGGGGACACCGGGGCGGGGTCGGAGCCCGGTGCGGGGCCCGGGTCCGGCAGTAGCACCGGCGCGGGAGCGGCGACGGGCGCGGGGGCCATGCCCTGCAAGAGCGCCGAGTGGCTGCAGGAGGAGCTGGAGGCGCGCGGCGGCGCGTCCCTGCTGCTGCTCGACTGCCGGCCGCACGAGCTCTTCGAGTCGTCGCACATCGAGACGGCCATCAACCTGGCCATCCCGGGCCTCATGCTGCGCCGCCTGCGCAAGGGCAACCTGCCCATCCGCTCCATCATCCCCAACCACGCCGACAAGGAGCGCTTCGCCACGCGCTGCAAGGCGGCCACCGTGCTGCTCTACGACGAGGCCACGGCCGAGTGGCAGCCGGAGCCCGGCGCTCCCGCCTCGGTGCTTGGCCTGCTCCTGCAAAAGCTGCGCGACGACGGCTGCCAGGCCTACTACCTCCAAGGTGAGGGCAGCACTGAGACCCCCGTCCGGGACTGGGGCTCTCCCGAGGCTCCCTGACGCCCCCGCCGGAGGCTGCTTTCTCTCCATGCGCTACGCCTGCCTGGCCGGCGCCACGTCGCCCCCGGCTCGCATCCGCCTCTACCCGCCTCTACCGGGAGCTCGGCCCCCGCGGTGAGGGTTTAGACTGGCACGAGGGCCCCCTCTGCACCACCTTCTCGGCACGATTCGAGTGGGCTGAACAAACTTTCCCGGCCTGGGCTTTCCTTCCCCGCCACCCCCGTTTTGGGACCATGGCAGCGCCTAGGTTCCTGCTGAGCCCCTCAGACGAGGAAGGGGCCGCCCCCTGGGACCCCAGAGATGACAGGGCACCCATGTCCAGCTCCTCCAGCCTAGAATGTGTGTCCCTGGAAGACCAGGGTCAGGATATAGGAGCCTTTGGCAGCATTAATCCCCACCCCCAAGGTATGGGGACGTTTGGGTGGGGGGACTCCGGGCATCCCGGCTTTGGTCTCACTACTTGGGGGTCACAGCCTTTCAGAGGCACTTGGGGCAGGACTATAAGCAGCGTCCCCTGCCCTGGCTTTCCGGGACCCCCAAGTCCCCAGCCTACTGCCCTAAAGCTTGTGGAAGGGGGAGGCAGCTGGGGGGCGAGTGGCTGCAGCCGGTGTTTCCAATTAACATTCCAAAATGGCCTCTCGCTGGCAGCGGGCGGGCAGGCGGGGAGGGGAGGGGAGGCCTGCGGCACCCTCGGGCGCAGGGCCCATCCTAGCTGCAAGGCGCTCCCCGGTTCTGGGCTGTGTAAAGCCCCCGCAGCCCTCCCCCTCTGTGTTTCTAAGGCTGAGGGTCTTGAGTTCTCGGGGGAGAGGTGGAGTTGGGACCCCTTTTACGAACTTGCCACTGTGAGAGGAAAGAGCCAACCAGTACTTTGACGCTGCCCGCCCTGACCGTGGTTGGGGGTGAGGGACAAGGACCGGAGGCCCGCTGTGGACCTGTAACGGACCTGGACCCAGCTCTGGCCCCGCTGTCTCACCTGTAAGAGGGGTTCACAAACCCACAGGTGCTGAGTCGAGATGGGGTTGTCTGCTTTCCTTTACCGTTTAGTGGTTCTGGAGCACCCATGGGTGCCAGGTGTGCATGGGAGCTGTGGAAGAGAAATGAGCTGGGGCTTGGCCTTAAGTGCCCTAAAGCTGGTGATATGGCTGGGACCCTGAAGCCTTATGGGTCAGGGTATGGAGCTCAGGCATGTCACTTCATCTCCTGGGGCCTCAGTTTCCCATTCTAAGTGGGTCACTGGATAGATGATGTAGAGAACATGGTACACGTGTAATATGCTTGGCAGGACCCATATTGGCCGTTGGTGGTGTCATAGCGCTTGACAGGGGCAGCCCTGGCCACTGTTGGTTTTGGGCAGCCCATTGGTCTGGGGGCATCGGCCAGTGGCATGGGCAGTCTCTCACCCAGGCCCTCTTACCCCGGCCACAGGTGGTTTCAACAAGTTCCAGACAGAGTATTCAGAGCATTGCGAGACCAACGTGGACAGCTCGTCCTCACCGAGTGGCTCACCACCCACCTCAGTGCTGGGCCTGGGGGGCCTGCGGATCAGCTCCGACTGCTCAGACGGGGAATCAGACCGAGAGCTGCCCAGCAGTGCCACCGAGTCGGACGGCAGCCCCGTGCCATCCAGCCAACCAGCCTTCCCCGTCCAGATCCTGCCCTACCTCTACCTCGGCTGTGCCAAGGACTCCACTAACCTGGACGTGCTCGGCAAGTACGGCATCAAGTATATCCTCAACGTCACGCCTAACCTGCCCAACGCCTTTGAGCATGGTGGCGAGTTCACCTACAAGCAGATCCCCATCTCCGACCACTGGAGCCAGAACCTCTCCCAGTTCTTTCCCGAGGCCATCAGCTTCATTGGTAGGTGTCGCTATGCTCTGGGTGGGGTTGGTGGGCAGGTGCGTCGAGGTGTGTACGGGACTTGGGTGTCCCTGGCGCCTGACTGGGTACCTCGGGGCCTGTCGGAGCCTGTGTATGCCCTGCATGTGCCAGCTTGCACCCGTGGCCGGACCCATGCCTGCTGTGAGTCACCAGGGCCCTCGGGACCTGAGCAGTCCCCTGAGTCCTGGATTCCCCCACCCCCCAACTGTTGGCACCCCATGGACTCTACTGTCCAGCTTGTGTTTTTCTGGCTCTGCTGTTTTGGGCTCAGCAAGCTGAAACATCACAGCTCTCAGACCTCCCACAGGTCTTACTTGCTCTGCATCACGCCTCAGCACACATGTTTTCCAGGAGGGGGCTGCACAGTGCCTCTTTGGACTTTATTTTGTACCTGAGGGGGTTGAAGGGTAGCCCTGGAGTCAAAAGCTGACCTCAAATGGGCAGCTATTGGAATGTGGTGACCCAGAGTGGCTCAGTAGGGCCCTGGATGCTCCCGGCAGCCAGTGGGGCTTGCTTCGAGTATAGGGGAACCTCCCCCAGAGCAGTATGTTCTGCTATTTCGCTTAGAGCCCTCAGCCCCCTTCCTCCCCAGCTGACTCAAGCTCCACGAGTTGCCTTATCTTTGCCCTCCCCATCCTGCTTCCTCTGTGGCCAGCTGGAGGCTGTTAGACTGCAGGCCATCTTCCTGGCCCAGCTCTTACCCAGGGTGTGGGGAAGGATGAATGTAAAGCCGTGGCTCTCTGAGCATGGTGACCCCGTGTTTGTACCCAGCCTCCAGTGCCAGAGAGGAGGTGGCCTGGGCAGTCATCTCTTGCTGGCGGCTGTGTCCAGTGGAGGGCGTTTTGGTGTCAGCTGGGCCGGGCTAGCTTTAATAACAGGAAGTGGGAGGCTTCCCCGCCTCATCCGCTTACTGGGAACCAAAACTAGGTGCCTGGCTGGGAGGAAGGAAGGAAGCTGAGGCCTGGGGGAGGGGCCGGGACTGGGGCGTCGGGAGCTTCCCAGCTCTGCCCTGGAGGACACGGCCAGGAGGTCTCTGGGTGCCACCTGAGTGCACACTCTCTCCCCCAGCAAGACGGGAGGAGAGAGGGGGACCCCAGACTCCCAGGGCTGAGCCTGGCTCATGGGTGCCTGGATCCTTCCGAGAGGCCCCTCTGCATCTGGGGACAGAACAGGATATAGGGGTGGGGGGCCAAGTGAAGGACTAGAGGCCCAAGCATCCCCTAGGACTTAGCGGGACAGGATCAAGCCCCAGCCCCCACACTGTTCAGCCACACCCTGAGAAGGCTAAAAATAAAGCTAGCGGAAGCAGTTTCACTTTGGATCACTCAGGAGTGGGTTTGGGGGCCAAGCGTTCCCCAGATCCTGGTATGTCCCCTCCTCCTGGAGACTCCTCTCCACCACCCCATTAGCCCCAAGTCTCAAGGTCAGACCACGGGACTCTGCACAAAGCTACAACATCTCTCTCTTCCCCTGCTAGTCTTGCCCCCAGGCAGTCCCTGAATCTGGATTAAGTACCTCCTGCACGCTTAGCCCCGGGTATCCTTCCAGGGAGTGAGGAGGGGCAGCTCTGCCAGAGCAAATGAGCACTAGGGGCTGAACAACTTGGGAACCTGTGCAGCGTCCTGTGGGGGTGCACTGATTGAGTGCCCACTGTGTGCCTGGGCACCTATCGGGCCCAGAATCAGAGAGGTGTGGGGACCTGAGGGCCCCAGAGAGCTGCCTCTTGTTAATCTCCGTGCTTGGCACAGCTGTGGCACGGGGAGAGGCAGCAGCCCTTGGGCCCCAGGAGGAGTGATTACAGGACTGAGCTGTTCAGTGGCTCTACCAGTGTTTATTGAGCTCCTACTGGGTGTCAGGCAGAGGAGTCGGAGAGCCACGCTGGGGGAAGCTGGGAGGGTCCTCAGAACCTGGTTGGCTGCAGTGGGAATGTCACTGGTGCACGGGCCTGCTGGGAAGTCCTGTAAGTGAGAGCGGAGGCTCACTTCATCTAGCCTCCCTTGTAAAACCTCAGATGCCGCCTTCTTGCCCGTCGCTGGCTGTGCAGGAGTAAGGCTAAGGTGTGGGGGACAGGGTAGTGCTGAGTGTAGGGCTGGGCCCCCCATTCCCTTTCGAGGGCTTCCCTTGGGCCTGTTCCCAGGAGGCCCTCGGCGAGGGTCCCCACAGGAGCCCCAGGAGAACAAGCTCGGCCTCTGCTGCCAGGCCAGGGGCTGACAGTGGTGTGCTAGGAGTTAGGAGGAGCCTCTCTGTGGTCTTGGGCTTGTCACTCTGTTTTTGCGGCTGTGACCTCATTTATAAAATGAACTTGCTGACCGTGGTGCAGATGGCCTGAGAGGACACGGGTGACCCCCTCGGCACAGGCCGGGCAGTCAGCTGTCGCAGTAGTGGTCCGAGCAGTGACTGTGACCATCACTGGTGCCAGTGTTCAGAGAGCCCTCTCTTGGCTTAGGTCCTTACAAGAGCACTGTGAACAAGGGGGCCCGTTTTATGGATAAGGAAACTGAGGCCCCGGGACATGAGTGACTTGAAGCTAATGCGTGGCAGCGCCCTCTCCACAGTCGTGCTCTTGACCTCCACCTCAAACTGCCATTCCACCCTTGTGGGCCTCCACCAGGTCCCCCAAGAGGCAGTCAGCGCCAGCTAGTGACTATGCCAACCTCTGCACCCCGGCACCACCTCCAGCTCCCCGGAGGAGGCGCCTTCCTAACCCATGCCTGTGTGTTTCAGATGAGGCCCGCTCCAAGAAGTGTGGCGTCCTGGTGCACTGCCTAGCAGGAATCAGCCGCTCGGTGACAGTCACCGTGGCCTACCTGATGCAGAAGATGAATCTGTCGCTCAACGATGCCTACGACTTCGTTAAGAGAAAAAAGTCCAACATCTCGCCCAACTTCAACTTTATGGGGCAGCTGCTGGACTTCGAGCGGACGCTGGGGCTGAGCAGCCCGTGCGACAACCATACCCCCAGTGAGCAGCTCTACTTCTCCACGCCCACTAACCACAACCTGTTCCCGCTCAACACCCTGGAGTCCACGTGAGGCTGGGTGCAGGTGGGCGGGGCCGGCCCCTCCCGACGCCCACCGTGAGCCAGGTGGGCGGCCCACTCCTGCTACGTCCAGCCAGAACCTAGACATCGTGGGCCATGGCCTGTGCCCAGAGGCCCAGGCTGGTGGGTGGCCAAGCTTCCCTCAGTGCCCGGAGGGGGCGGACCCTGCAGCAAGGCCTCTCTCCACAGGACATCCCTGGGAGGCATGGCCTCGGGAGGCTGGTGGGGCCTCACCCTTGTCCCAGGATACTCCACCGGCAGATGGCCCGGCCAGTTTGGCTGTTTTTTTAAAGACACATCCACGGACCTGAGTTTACTTTTTACTTTTGGCAGGTAAATCCAAGCTCCCCGGAGCATGGCAAGTGTTCAAGCTCTTCTCGATTTTTCTTTTTTAACGAAAAGTGTTATTTTCAGGCTACATGCAACAGTGGATTGTATAAACCAGTATTTCATCCCTTCCCTGATCCTTCGAGAGAGAGAAGTGTTCTCAGTTTTGTATTTCTTCCTATTTCCAAAAGCAATGATTGGTTTTTTTTGTTTTTGTCTTTAATGGAAAAAGACAAACCCCATGTTGATCTTGACCAAATGCGTTTTGCACATGTGTGAAGCCTCCCATTTCTGCAGCAGGCCCTTCTCGAAGGGGCGGCTTGCTGCTCTCTTGGCATCAGACCCCCAGTCCTGCCCACGTCTCGGCCCAGCCCCATGGCACTGTACTTGCAAGACGTGACTGCTGGGCTGCCAGGTGGCCTGTGTGTGGCCTCTGCGTTCTCTGCCCTCCAGCGGCCTCTGCAGCCTCCCTGAGGCAGGAGATGGGAGGCTCTGCTGCCACCCCTACCGGAGGTGGGGCTGTGGGGGGCTGCCAAGCAGTAGCATTAGCCCTCTGGGCTCAGCCCGTAGGAGGGCCTGGGCCCCGGGCCCTTTTTCTACGTACCCACTACTTCTGTCTCTCTCTCTCTCTCTCTCTCTCCCCGTTTGTTTGTGACTGAGAGAGGAGGCCCAGGGGCTGGGGGAAGCTTAGGTGGTGGAGGCCCAGCCCTGTCCCTCACCCTGGCTGTTGCTTCGGTCTAGCTGCCACTCCTAGGCCCCTTGTCCCGTGGACGCTTGCCCTGCACTCATCTTGCCCATGCCTTCTACTACCAGGAAACTCGCACCCGTTTCAATCCCAGGGCAGGGGCGGAAGGGGCAAGGATGGACAAGTGAAAGGGGTATGGGGCTCTGTCCACCCCCTCCCAGGATCCACAGAACAAAGCCACGGATTCCGTTATCTTCCTCCAGTTTCGTTCCTTCTCCAGCCTGCGTCCCACCAGGTGTCAGGACGGCACAGGGGCCCAGGGAGTGGGGAGTGGTCAGGCCGGGGTCCCTGAGTGAGCCAGTACCTGGTGTGTGAGCGAGGCCACGGAAGCTCTGCCCCACTGCGTCTTACCTCACGGGGCGGTTTTCAGGGATTCTTAAAGGCAGCGGATTAAAATCTTGCCACAGTCGAGAAATTGACAAAAAGCTTCCATGCTGTACATGGTTCTTTCTCTTTTTTACTTTTAGAAAGAAAAACCTGGAAAGATGCATCAGATTTGTGTAAATGAGAGTATGCCAGGAGGGTGGCCAGTTTTGCTTTATGATCTTATGAAGGAAAATTTGTGACCCAACATACGTGTATACACACACACATACATATATATATATATCCCGAACCAGCAACGGGACTTTGTTTATATTGCAAATAAATATTATTTTTTCTTTAAAACAAGTTGTGGTGTCCAGTAAGGGCCTGGGGCCGGGGTTGGTGGGGGAGCAGCATCCCAGCACCTACTTTGGGTGATCTGCTGGGCCGGGAGGGGGAGGAGTGGCCGGGCCTGGGGGGAGACAGCTGAGGTATGGCATTTCCCCAGCCTTTGGGTGCTATAGACAGAGACCACAGGGCTTTCTCCATGGGCTTCTGCTGATTGATTGACAGGAGATGGAGGCTTGGAGAGGTTTGGGAGACTGAGGTCACACAACTGGGCCCCTGCTCACCCTGAATCCCTCAGGGCTGTCTACTCGGACATTAGGCAGATTTGCTCAGGGCTCTGGGCTCTTGATTGGGCCCTGGGGCCCTGAGCTTTCCTCTTTTTGCTCTTGTGCGTGGAACAGAGGTGTGTGTTCATCACCTCATCCTTCTTCTCAACTCCCACCCACCCATAGTCCCTGGGAAGCCTGTGGAATATGAAACCTGGCTAGTGACTGGTCAGCCCTGCTCTGCTCCCCAGGAGCTGGGCAGCCTCAGGTCACTCAAACCCCTTGGCCTCTCTTCCCATCTGTGAAGTGGAATCATTCACACTCAGATACCCTGTGCCTTTTGTGCTTGGGGCACGAGGAGCATGTTTAATTGGTTTCCTGGTCTGGGCCTACAGGGCGGAACTGGCCATGTCTGGCTTCTCCAGAGCAAGTGAGCATCCACCCACCATGCAGAGCCCTTCTGGGGGCTGGTGGAAGAATGGTGGCCATGCCCTGGGGATGTGAGGCCCTCAGTGGGTGACCTAGCTCCATGTGGAATGGAGCTTAGGAGGGATTTACGTTTCCTTTGCCTCTGACTGGGTTGAGTGAGCCCCAGTCAGGGACTAGGTGCTGACTCCATTTCCTCATCTCTGCCTGTCATCTGGCTTTATCCTTTCTGCGGTGACCACCACCTGGCTGGCCGCAGGCAAGTAGGCAGGTGCGGTGGGTCAGGACAACTCTTCCGCTTTCCAAAGACTCCCGGGCTTGTTTTTTTGTCCCCGGCACCTCTGCCCACGTTACATTCAACCAGAGCACAGTCATGACTTCAGGAGTATGATGGGTAGAGGGCATGTTCTTCAAGCAAAGGGCCTTTGGTTCCAATCCCAGATGTGTGGCTACTAGCTTCTTGCCCCCCTCAGCCTGCTTTAGAATGGGGGAACACTGGTGCAGCCAGCAGGCCTGGGGGAGGCGGAGGGGGCTTCTCGCAGCCTTGGCAAAGGGGCAGGTTCTGCTTTCGCCCCTGGGCTCCCTCAGGGCCCTGGTCCTTCTGTGCCAGGGGCAGGCAAGGGGGTGGGGGCCTGAGCAAGCAGAGACTGGGCCTTTGTTCCCTCTTGCTGCCCTTGGCCGGGGCCGGGGAAGCCCGCGGGTGCCGGGCTGGGGGCTGGGCCCTCGATAGGCCGCGTAAGCGCCTGGCAGTGCCAGTGTGCCCAAGCACGGGGTGGGGGGTGGGAGCAGTGCTGCCTCCTGAACCAGCTCCTCAAGTAGAGGCCCAGGGGGCTTTACCTCCTGTGCAACCTCAGGCCAGGTGGCCTCGCCGGCCCTCAGTGTCCTCATCTGAGGGAATTTGCACCTCAGCACCGCGCTCAGCTGCGGTTCCCTTCAGCTTGTCTCTGGTGGGGACAGAGGACCATGTCATGGCGGGGCAGACTTTGGGCTCAACCAAACCTGCACGGCTGTCTCTCCTCCGGCTCCCAGGTGCCACCTCATGGGCCCCTGCTCTGTCTCATTGTCTGAGCTCCTGTGATTCCACTCTGTTTCTGCTGTGCTGTTCCCCATGGCGCTGTCTGTCCCAAGCCACCTTTGGCTGAAGCCCTGGATGCCGGTGTCCCCTGAGCACCAGGAACCAGCTCTCTGAGGTTGATCTGCTTAGCTCCTGGGCACTCAGTCCCATCTCTCCTCCTGGCACCCCTTTGCCTCCCTTTGGATTCCTGTGTCTCTCTTCATCCCAACCCAGGCCCCAGGAGTGCCCCCCCTTCCATTCCCTTCCAGCCACTTCCCAGCCTTCTAATGGGAGGAAGATGTGAGCCACTCACTCACTGGCACATTCATCCCCCAGCCATTTCCTGTGCCGGCTGGGCTGCCCCAGGGGTGGGAACATGCCTGAGGGAAGTCTGGTGATGTCAGGCTGGGTGGCAGACTAATGGGGCCCTCAGCTTGTCCTCTGATAAATGAATCAGGTGCAACAGCAGGAGTGACTAAGGCTGGACTTGAGAAAGAACTTGCAGAACTATGGAGCAGCCCCCCTGCAGGGCATCTGACAAGTTGACCACAAAAAGAGATGAATATTTTCCCAGGGGCATCCTGCTCTGAGCTTGGGGGAGGGGCAGGCAGCACTCAGGAGAGGGGCTGCCCCCAACCCACTAGGGCCTCTCCCCAGGGTGCAAACATCATCATCCCTCATGAATGGGGCAGGGTGGAGGCGGGCAGCGAACCCACGCTGGAGCCTGCCTCCTCCCCTAACATCGCCGCTGCCCGGCACACTCAGGCCTGCCTCTGGACACCATGTCTGCATTGGGCCGTCTTCTACATCAGTCTGGATGTGGCAAGGAACACCAGCATCCACACCAAACCCTTAAGCTGGAAAGCCTGATGTGGGAACCAGGTGTCCCTGGAAGGAGCATGCCAACATGCCGACCTCTGGGCACCCCAGGACCCTGGGTTGCATGACGGATGTTTGGGTCCTGATCTTTGATATATTTCCCCTGGACTCCACCTGAGCACAGCCCTCGCACCTCCTCCAGAGGTCTTCTGGGATCGGTCCCATCTAACTCCTGATACTCAGCAGACCTGAGAGCCTGGATTGTCCTGTCCCCCCAACCCCATACAGATAGGGAAAACGAGGCTCGGATGGGGTCTTAGAGTGAGTCAGGGAAGAAGCTAGGCCTCCCTGCACCGCTGCCCTGTGTCTTTTCACCCAGATCCGGCCTCCCCCATCGGGCCGAGAGCCTTCTCTATCAGGCCCCGAGAAGGGCCAGACACATATGCATGTGCACATGCGTACACACACGGCCCCCTCGTTTCTCAGACAGGACAAGCCCAAGCAGGTCGCGTAGTGATGGAGGAACCGCCTGCCTCTGACTCCAGCCTCCTCTCATTAGGGCGCGGGCGGGGTGAGGTCATCCCTTCCCAGGCAAGGCCATGAAAGACCATCATTAGCAGCTCTCAAGAGGTAAGATGAGGCCTCAGCCCTGATGTCTCTGTCCGGGTCAGATTAGCCTCCACGGGAGACGAGGGACTCCAGTGCCCGCCAGAACAGCTTATGCTCAGGCAGCCAACCCCCTTCCCAGGGCCCCATCCACAGCTCCAGGGGAATAATCTGCCTTGTGGCTTCTGTGCATCTACAGGATCTTCACCGGCCCCTTCCGCACCAGCGCGTCCTCGGTCCCAAGGTCCTTCCACCCCTGCTGCTTGCAAAGGAGGAGCTGCAGCCCTTTATCTAGGGTTGGATGGGCCAGGGAGGAACCAGGTGTGGTCCAGAGAACAAGGGAGCCCCTAAAGAGCTTTAAGCCTAGGGCGGACAGTGTCTGGTTGTCACTAGAAAGATCCCCTAGCTACTCAGTGGAGAACAGTCTGAAGGGCAACGTGCAGGACAGGGGATGGCGGGGAGGCTGAGCTCGTCACTCAGGGTAGGGGAGGCTGGACCACTACGGACCAGAAGAGGATGAGCCACACCTGCAGGACCAGCAGTGTGGAGGCTACTCATGGGAGGCAGGACTCATTGTGTGGACAGAAGTCCCCAGCTTGCCTGATTCCGTGTCTATGGCCTGAAAGGCAGCTGCCATGCCTCATCGAAGGAGGAGTCTTAGCCAGGACATGTGTGGGTCCGTGTTGGAACCCTGGCCACTGGAGTCTGCATTCCCACTCACCTGCCCCCACCCCTCAATGTGTATCCACACACTGAATACCCAGAGAGAGGCAGGAGTCACCAGGGTCCTCCCTCCTACTGGAGATATTCCTGGGGCAGCACAGCCCTGGTGGCCCCTCTCAGACTCTTGGTTTCCTCTTCCGTACAGCAAAGATAAGAATTGTGGATCCTCAGGCACCTGGCTGGCTTAATTGATGGAGTGCAACTCTTGATCGCGGGGTTGTGGGTTTGAGCCCCATGTGGAGTGTAGAGAGTACTTAAAAATAAAAATCTTGTGAGGCAGTGGGGGAAGAGAGCTATGGGTCTAAGAGTAAAAAGCGGGGGATGCCTGGGGGGCTCAGCGGTTGAGCATCTGCCTTCGGCTCAAAGTGTGATCCCAGAGTCCCCGGATCGAGTCCCACATTGGGCTCCCTGCGAGGAGCCTGCTTCTCCCTCTGTCTATCTCCCTGCCTCTCTCTCTCTCTGTGTCTCTCATGAATAAATAAAATCTTAAAAAAAAAAAAAAGTAGAAAGCAGGATGAAGGGCCTTGGGAATGTGAATCATGATGCCAATTTAACTGTGACCACCCCACCAAGGGCCATCTCCCAGAGCCAGCTATTGCTGATGGCTGGGTGACCTCGGCCATACCCAGTTCAAGTTCCCTGTGTTCACAGGCAAAAAAATGAGAATAAGGACTCTGATGGCCCTCATACTTGGGACATAGGGATTTTGGCCCAAACCTTCACTTCCATCCCAACGGCCGGATAGCCTGATATCAGGAGTAGCCTAGGAGCCAGTAACCAGCCTGAAAGGAGAAGGCTGGAGTTCAGGGCTGGAGGGCCTTGGCAGGATACCTGGCTGGGGAGGGGTGAGCCAGGCTGCCCCCCTCCCTTGTTCCAGTAGACCCCTTTGCTGCAGCCCCTTGAGGACACTTGCTTCTCCCATCTACCTGCCTAGGGGACTCTCCCACAGTTTCTCCCGGTCATGGGGGTCTGAGAAATTTATAGTCTGCTCCCAGGTGAGCCCTGGCCCCTGGTCCAAGCTCTATGGCCCATCCCTCCGTGCTCCCAGCCTGCCCAAGGCTGGTTCGATCAGATAGTTCTAGGTGTCTTCCTGAGATTGTCAGAAAGGGCCTTGAGTT